ATCATTGGCTGATGTCATGATTTAGTTTATCATTGGCTGATGTCATGATTTAGTTCATCATTGGCTGATGTCATGATTCAGTTCATCATTGGCTGATGTCATGATTTAGTTTATCATTGGCTGATGTCATGATTTAGTTCATCATTGGCTGATGTCATGATTCAGTTCATCATTGGCTGATGTCATGATTTAGTTCATCATTGGCTGATGTCATGATTCAGTTCATCATTGGCTGATGTCATGATTTAGTTCATCAATGGCTGATGTCATGATTTAGTTCATCATCGGCTGATGTCATGATTCAGTTCATCATTGGCTGATGTCATGATTTAGTTCATCAATGGCTGATGTCATGATTTAGTTCATCATGGGCTGTCCTTTCTTGCTCTAAATTATTTTATCTGTGCTTCGCTTATTAATGTTCACAAAAGCAGGACACCATTTTTGCTTTCAAAGTTTTTCTAATGTTTTTAATGCGTAATGTCATGATGAGGGGATTTACCAAGGACTGTAAGTTGATGAATGTGACTGCAATATGATTGGCAATGTATTTGAATTCTGGCGTGAATTGTTTTCCTTCAGCTGTTTGGATGACGTTGACAACGATGATAGGAAAATAGAACAAGAATGATGAGAACACCAAAATGGACAATGTAAATACTCGCTTGTATTCTTTAATCTGACGTTTTTTCTGTTCATTGTGTTGTTTTTGATGAGCTTGTTGTGACATTGCTGTTTGTTTGATGGCTTTCATTTTGGAATACGATGTGATAGCTACTTTGATTGTGCAATACAAGGTTACAAGGACGTTTCCCACTGCGAACCTGAGTSCTGGGAGTTTTTTCAGTGTTTCGTGTTTATCCAAGAGGATTCTAAGAGTTATCAGTGTTGTKGGCAATACTACCCATACAGCTACTGCTATTTTCTTTACCCTCTGGGTTGTAATATGGACACGATGCCAGAAAGGGAGCTTGATAGCGAGATATCTTTCCACGCTTGTCATCATTAAACTACAGAGACTCAATCCCATGCAAACTCCCATCGTCATCATATTGACAGAAGATAGACAAATCCCACACTCGGTTAGTAAGCATATGAAAAACCAGCAGTACAACGGCTCTACTAGTAACCCAAYCAGGAAATCACTCGCAGCAAGGGCCGCCAGCAAAATGTTGTAGTTGTTGGAWCGCAGCTGTTGATCTCCTAATACGGTCCACATTATTAAGGCATTGAAAACCRCAGTAAATGGTGCAGCGATGCCATTGGTRCAGGCAAGAAAAGTCCAAACTGGCACTACAGAATATGGTAAATTTKTGAGATTGCTGTGGTCAACTTCTACTGATATTAAATCACAAGTCCATGTGTTATTAGACGTGGCCATGGCAAGAACTAAAGGAGAACTTAAAACTGCTTTTAGCTGCACTTAGTTTTGTTGGACACAAATGAAACAGGACGAAATGGATTAGGAAATTGCGTTCGTTCGTATTTTTTATAATCAAGCGTTATTTGTTTRCCATTATGCTTTAAAACGTTGTTAATGCCTATAGTTTTTCTAAACAATATAGTAACGATTAAACAATGACTACAAACACAAATTCTGTCTTGTGCTTGATGTTCCGGTGCACCTTTTAATCATTAAAATGATTTGAACACGTACTGTTTTATGAATTGAAATTTTTCCAAATTATTTTATCAGAGACCATCTAATATATATATGTTGTTACAATATATTTTTCATGTATATTATTAATAGGTAATAAGACGGTTTCTCGTTCAATTTGGATTAATTTGCACTCGTTTGTTTTTCAAAGAGCCAAATTGCGTTCGGCCTACGGCCTCACATAATTTTTACATCATTTTACATTTGATAGCTTAGTTATTCAAATAGGTTTAGAGATTTAACAGTACATAAGAAATATAATATAAATAAATACATAATGCCATAGCTACGTTTTTAATGAACATCATTTTCACAGAATTTAGTATACTTAAAAGTACTAAATTCTGTGAAAATGATGCTCATTACACCTGCTCTTCATGATCACAGTAAACTGAACAATATGAATTACTTTACGTAACGAGCTGAAAAGCCTTTTCTTACACCCATGCACTTTAATATAGTCGTTTTAATTAATAATCAAGAAATATAAAAYGGATTCCCGTGTTTGGATAATCTGCTCAGCAAAAAAAACGAGCTGAAACTCTATTGTTACATCCATCCATGCACTTTATATGAGTCCTCACAGCAAAAAAGACGTTTTTTGACCAATCACAGAGCGTGTTATATCATTTATTTTACAAATTATTTTAGACAAACGTTTTAAATCAATGATGATTGCATGCCCAAGTAACTAATCCTCTATTCCGACTGCTTAGGAATATATCGGCTACCAAATCAACAAATATTGTTTTCAAAATAAAAAAAGGAAAATCAATAGTACAACAGTGGAAAATAGCTAATAAAAAATAAATATACTACAGAATTAATCTGCATTTTGTGCTCAACAGAGGCAGCACTGAGTCAAGGAACTCTATCTGAAACTTGTTCAATTCAATAATCATTATTATTATATTATATTTTTATTAAGGGACTGCGCAATATTTATCAGGAGGGGGGCGGCGTGAGAAATGAGCCAAAAAATCAAAAAAAAAAAAATTACCACCCCCTTCCTTGCAAACGAAATACAGTTACACTGTGCCCCCTCCCCCTGGTGAATTTATCCCCCCCCACCTTTCGGTGAATTTATTTATTTATTATTCGTGAATAAAACTTTGTCGCAAATCGTGGCACGCTTTTCTTGAGATGTTTTATAATCTGACCCCGTTGATTTTTTAGTTTCCAATTAAAGTTCTAGTTCATTTTAGACGTGGCCCCTCCTCTTTGAACACATACAATCAGATGTTACCCCCCCTCCCTCTGGATTATCAACCCCCTTCCTGATAAATATTGCGCAGTCCTAAGTAAATACAAGCGTAGTTCTGATTAACTAAAATCTCAGTCTTCGTCTGTCCTAATAATCATGACGGCATATATGCTTGTTGGCAAGTGTCCAAAAAGATCGGAAGTAAGGGRGATGACTTGAAGTTTCTTTGCAAACGTAGCGATATTTTTGCTGGCACAGAATCAATCATAAGAGCAATTATAAGAGCATTAATGATATGCATACACTATGTTAAAAGACATGAAGACTCATGGGAAATAATTTGAATATAATTATAAAATTTCATCATTATGCATTAAAAAGCTTGTTTCAAAAAACAGTAACATGGCTGAGCGAGATTCAAGAGTCATTCAAAACYTTCGTCATGCTCTCGGGATGTACTCTCACCAACTGTCAATTTAATCAAAAGCTAAGGGCCATTGTACTGAGCCTGTGTGCAGTCGAACCAATCAAACCAGTCGGCTGCACGCAGCCTAGGGCCATTGTTGTCTATAATTAAACTGTGTAAAGACGTCCTCGCCACTACCCTACTGGGGAAACGGATACAGATAGGCTATGTYAAAAAAAGACTTGGAATTTCAATTAAAGCATTTGGTTGAAGTGACAGTAACGTTTGCTGTCGCTTCATAATCCAGAAATAAGAATTGTTTGCATGGCGTCTAATCTGACGTGGCTGCATGCATTTTATAGTTGTTCGTTATGTGGTTATTGTCAGAGAGACATTGTGATGAATTTTATTCRAATATGCTGTGATGTTCATGCAGTGGACAAGATCGATCTGGCGGCTCTTTTTATAACATATATAGATTGGGGGGATTGATGGGGATTGATGCTAAACTTACAGAGTACTAGCGAGGTTTATAGTTCTCTCGGTGATATCCCTGATCTCAGGTTCTGGGATCAAAGGRGCTTAAAATTTGATCCTTGATCCCCCAAATGACTTCAATTTTGATCACTGATCTTTGTCAATCCTTGAATAACTTTGCGATTCTGAATTACTAAGGTCACTGACTAGACCTCACTGACGCCGATTCCAAAGCTAAAACTCTTATTCCCGAGCCCATAAAAATGATGAGAATGTGATCTCTGAGTCCAAAAGATAATGCAGATCCCTGATCCCATATATCTTATTACTTCAAACGAACCGGTTGTATCCGATCGACTATTCACTATCCACAAATAACTGATTGAATTCTTTGAATTGCTMGCTGCATTGACTATTACGATGCAAWGAAAAATCAATCCATGCACTATAYAAGTTGACTATTGATCATGGGCGACAAGCGTAAGCGCCAGCTCCCATATACGCCTCAAAGAATTCACAAGTCTGATTCTTTTTCTTATSAAAGAAACGAAAATTGCCCACAGGATGGACACAWTTTACGCGCAGAAAACTCTGRRGGATTAGCAASAAGCAGGGAGGARTTAGAAARAGATTTTCACGAGCGACTTCATTTTGTAACTTCATGTAAAAAGCCATTRTTCTGTGATATAGTGGGTGGTGRGAAGGAATGGAAGCCGCCTCCTCTTTATCAACTAAACAAGTACGAGCCCGCAGACGTGCTAGAAGTAACGCTGGACTACATGGAAAAAGAGCTGAATAGTTTGAAATCGCAAGTGAAAACGGTTGAGAACGCTTTTACTGTAATTCGAGAGAATACCTTGAGCATCAGGAAATGCATCGGTGACATTCAAGAATTGAAACATTAAATATTCAGTACGAACTGTCAGTGCTGTTCGGTCAGCGGTGCGTTAATCACATAATTTTTTCACTGATTTCCATGCCTAATGCCTATTTAGTTTTCGTTATTCGTTATTCTTGTATGGATTACTAGTAAGTAAAATAAATTGACTTCACAGTGCAAAAAAGAAAAGATTCTCAAAAAAACTTGCGTTGGTCTTCCTGTGTTGTAGTTTATACCGCAATTCACAAGTATTGCTGACTCATACTGACGCAGCAAAGATGGCGGCGGCACAGAAGTGCATGGAACTCGTGGAAAACATCTCTAATTCATCGGAAAATGACGCCAAAAGCTATTTGAAAGACTTGAATCTCCTTCTTGATAGCTCCTCTTGTGATACGCAACAACTAGCTGCAATTATTCCCTGTGAAGTTCTCTTTAACTGTCTGAGATCGTCTAACGAAAAGCAGAACCTRCTTTGCAAGAAAATCTTGAAAAAGGTCCTTCAGTTCGAAAAGCCCGACGCAGTCGTGATCAAATACCACGATTATGTCATTGAAGGGATGAACCACCCTTCGTTTGAGATACGAGAGCTGTGCTTGAATGAAATTGAAAGATGTTCCAAAACTGTGAATGGCATTTTAGCTCTAGTTGACAAAGGGGACTTGTTGGCTTACGTCTGTAGGTGTATCGCTGACGAGAACCTTAGCTGTGCTCAGCTAGCATGTAGCACGTTTAAAAATCTTTCCAAGCACGAGGCAGGACTGGGTGTGATTTTTCAGCACCAGCTTCAAAGCGAGTTTAACGAGCTCTTTCAAAACAAGGAAGTTATCCGACTGAGATTGTATGAATTGTTTATTGACATGCAAAATAAYTCTGTTGAGGCTTTCCAGTCATGCAAAATAGCAGGGGTGTTTGAAAAAMTATTGAAAGARTTAGACAGTGATGATATTCTTGTCCAAATGAACTGCTTTGAGCTGCTTACAAGCCTGGYTAGCTCAAGTGAACATGGGTTAGTTTATCTGGAAGAAAATGGTGTCATGGCTAGATTGCACAATATGTTGTTAGAAGCAGAAACTAATCCTTTGATTGACTTGGTTATACCAGGTAAGAGAAGCAAAGTTAAGTGAATTAATGATGATATGATATATATGCAAAACAAGATAGTACTGAGTCACGAACTTCTCAAAATAAGATCATCATTAAAGTGCAAACATTGAAAGCACCAGAAAGTACTACCAATAGCCTAGATTAGACTATAAAAACAAAGAAATTCATATAATTCAACACAATTAAGCAGTATCAAATTACATATACTTTGTTTTTAATGGTTTTATTGTTTGCACTCAAATTCAATGTTGTCTATGATATATGTACTGCCTGTTACATCAATTTCTGAGAATTTCGATAACACACCTCAAAAGCACCAAACATTTGTATAAGGGGATGATGTAGCATATAYTGATATTATAGTAACTGTTGCAGTGCCCATACATTGTATTTTACATACAATACATGTAATCTAGTACACTAACCATCTCACTCATCTACTTCAGTCTCTTAGAAATGCTTAAAATGGCTAAATTCCTAAGCGAGATGGTCAAGTGTACTTAATTTCTCTTATTCTAAGCTTTGTTTATAAACATTTGACAAAGAAACTATAATATTGATGCATGCTACATACATTCCCTTCAACAAATGKCTACCTGTGCTGCAGCTATTTTCATGATGGGCTCCCTATCTCTTCCCATAATTTGCTGCTGAAATCCTAACTCCTTTACTTTTGCTATATTTTCTGTATTGTGAGTCTATTTGAATTTCAAAAGAGGCAGTATTTTTGCTTTGAACTGCCCATTTATTAGGAGGGACAGGAAGCCCAATAACTAGCTAAAATGAAGAGATCCCACAAAGGATAACAATGTAACAGCCACAGTTCTAGTTGTATAGTAGTCAAATGAGAGTTGCACATAACAGCAACTATTTATTGTTTTATCAATAGGTATCATCAAGTTCTTTGGTCATTTAGCACATGTAAGGCCATTAGAAGTAGCTCAGAATTACCCACAATTCATACAACAACTCTACACTCAAATAAATTGTGGTGATCTAAGGCTTATGCCAGTTGCTGTGGAAACCATTGGGGTTATAGCATACTCAGTACCAGGTCTTCATGCCATCTTTAACAATGAAAGAAGAGACAGACACATAATGAAAGTGCTCTACAATCACWTGACAAGTTCAGAATCAGATCTTCGAATACGATCTCTGGGTACATTATCAGCCATATTTTACTCCCAGGAATCCCCTTCTGAGGAYGAGTCCAGTTTTTTAAGGAGGCTGTATAATGATATGTCCAGAAAACCTCTTGAGGGCATTTCTACTGTTGCTAAGCAACCATTTGAAGAGCTTCGTTGTGCTGGTTTGAACTTGATGAAGTCACTTGCCAAGTTTGAATGGGCTCAACAGGAAATGAAAGATAGTCCAGGTATAACATTTTTATCATTTTGTGCTCAGAATATTTGTACATGGTGCTTGAARGTTAACATCACAAGTAACTCAGGCTGTTTAGTTTTTTTTGGTGTGTTTTGTTGTTGTTGGTGGTGTCTTTTTTTGCTTGCCATTGTTTTGTACTGTAGTTCTCATATGTCACAGTCTGGTGATCAGAAGCTAGAATGGTGGAAACTAGCCATAAACTAGTATGAGCTGTGTCTGTTTTTCTAAAGTTGTGAAATAAAATAAATTTTAATGAAATAACTTTAATTTTTCGTTAAGATTTATTTTATTGCACAAGGTCAAGTTAGCCTTGGAACAAGGTTSCAAGTACAAACTTTTGATTGAGAAGCCTGTGTAAACAGGTTGCAGTSTATAGAATAATTTAGAATCTGCTGTGTCTGGATCTTCTTCTCCTTACAGTGCATATATATATTTTAATTCAGGTTTCTTGGAGTACCTTCTTGATCGCAGAACAGAACCAGAAAAGGCTGGCAAAGAACTCAAGTAYGAACTGATTGTTGARTTAGTCCACTCGCCTTCTTCTAAACAAGTCTTTGATGCTCCATATTTGCTGAAGTTGAGAGAGTATGAGAGGGAAGGACCTTTCTTTGCCAAGGCTCAAGCTGCTGTTGCTTTTGAAGGAGCTGATTAATGACATGAAGTGTTTTGTAAGRTKCAAAGGAAGATAAATAAAAAAGTAAAACAAACAAAAAATTAATTCAGGCCACAATGATGTCACTAGTKTGGTTGTGTTATTCAATTATATATATGAACAAAGAAACAATAGATAGCCCATATAGTGCCCCTTCCTTAGGACTTTAGGAAGGGATGAGCAAGGACTGCTGCAATAGTTACAAATAGTACTTAGGAAGAAATCTTTATCAGCGTATGAAAGGAAGAAGTAAAAAAAAAAAAAAAGAAAACAAAAAAACAAAACAAAAAAACAAAAACAAATCAGAGTTGACTGAACTACTAAATTTGAAGAGTACTTAGAAACAAGCGTCGTGACTTTCTTTTCTTTCTTTTTTCTTTCTTTTTTTTTGTACATGTATTTTACATGCAAAGATAAGTACCATCAGCACAGCAAAAAAACCCTCTTCATTTAAAATCAATTAGCCTACGTGCTGCCGAACCAAAAACGTTGTTGTGTTCGTCGAACATAACAACTAACAGTTCTATTACATTTGAAGAAGTCTAAAATCTGAATTCTGCGCGTTTTTCAAAGCCGAACGGACTGACGGGAAAATTATATYCGGACGAGAGGGACTGGTTGCTACTATTGTTGCTACAACAAACGATCCACGAAACAAAATGGCGGATTCAGCCAAATCGACATTAGTACAAGGATAATTCGTCTGTTTTAATGATATAAATGGCTCAAAGTGAAATTTCTACGCAAAGGCTTGTACCCGAGGAAAAGGTTTTTAGGCAAATATTTGACGCTGAGGTAAACGTTTGTCTGAAATYGTTGTTTTTGTAATGAACTTTCGTTGATAATCCTCGATCTGATCCTGTCAAATTTATCAATTACTTGTAAATAAGAAAGCTTAGACTACTCCAGAATAATACTTTGAGCTACTGCTTTGTTCAAACTGYTGAATTTTAATCATATAATGCATTGTTTTATCGTATTTTTACAGGTAAGCCTAGTGGAATCACTCGAGAAGGAACGAAGACCAGTCAAATCAAAGTCTGCGCCAGTTTTACCACTAGTCAGGGAGTCAAGAGCTGTTACTGGACATGGTATTTTATCACGAAGGCAAAAAGAGTGGACTCAAGGGAGATTGAATGAATCCTATATCGAGAATCCCGTTCATTATAAGTGAGTTTAATCAAAAGTGATATACTATAATATTACTGTAGTTTTCCGTGTAGATGAAATGTAGTATACAGTCAAATTACACACTTGTGTTTTTTTAGATTGATTATTGATGTTAGGACTTAACGTTGAATGTCATTAGGTATGCTGCTTTGGAAGCCATTGAGAAAGATTCCAAGCCTGAAAGCTATCTGGCTGCTCAAGAAGTCAGAGGTCTGTCATCTGACATGCCAAGTAAGAGATAGTTTTAGTAAGCTTGCCTTGTAGAAATCCCTGGGCAACAATGTTCATTAGCATTTTTATGCTGTACAATAAATGAAAGCACTCGTTCAATATCATGTTTTCGACATTTAAGTAACTTGTGTGTCTGTCTCTTTGGTCATTTGCCATAGTGCCTTTACCAAGACTTTGCACTCTTTTCTGTCTCTTGCTTTCCTTTCAATTTCTCCTCACATCTTCTCTATGCCACTATTTGTGCAGTGGATTTCACATTTACTATGCAAAGACACTGATCACAGCAGGGACAAAACACTGCATAGTCACAGAATCTCGTCTGGTAGTGACACCTAATGAAAATAGCGATTCAAGAACCTATCACCGTCACTGCATAGTCACGTACAGAATCTCGTCTGGAAGTGACACCTAATGAAAATAGCGATTCAAGAACCTACAATGTATCACCATCACTGCATTGTGCAATCACAGCAAGTCAGTGTCATGATTGTTTTGCATAGTCATAGATAGATAGATCTAGATAGATAGCTGGTTTAATAAAACATCAATTTCGCAGCCAGAGGATGAATTGCCTAATATTTTACAATAAATAATATGGTTATAAATATAATAATGTGTTTCAATATTGTATAGTATCAATATAAAACTAATTATAGTTTTCTAAATTTCTGTAAATTGTCACCTCAAAACCTACAAATTACATCGTCCGTCATTGTTCACTTGACTTCACATTGCAGGAATAAATGAGTTCTGATATCGGTTGGTTTTAATCTTGGGAGGTCAAAAGTTCTCTTCCTTCGAGTGTTGTACGTGCACTGGTGATTGGGGGGCAGTAGATTTCTAAGCTTGTGGCGGTCATTACTTATAATTTGATTGAATACTTTGCTGCAAAGTTCCGAATGTCGCTCACATAAGCTCAACAGATTGAAGTTGGTCAGACTATCTTTGTACGAGAGTTATTAGAGAGTTATTATTAGTTGTATAATTAATTATACATGTACAGAATCCACTCTAATAGCATACAATTTTTAGGGTGCTTGAATTGTTTAATTTTAAATGTCTGAATTATGTATTGAATACTTGCTTTCGTTTATTGTTTACACAAAAGTTTTCTTTGCGGCTAATGAACAGTAAAGTTGTATAATTATACCTAGTTTGTTTATGACTTTGTTTTATATGTGATGTACTTTGAGTACAAATATAATACCATGATATTAGGACTGTTCATTAAATATGCATCAGGGTATATTTAATGAGGAAAAAATACCCCCCCCCCCTATGTATAAAACGATGTAAATTAGCTAATCTAAAAATATAAAAGGAGTCACAAAAAAGTGTTCAGACCTCTATAAAAAAGAAAAAGTTGTTGTTTAAAATGATCATTGATAAGAAATGATAAAAATAAAAAAAACATATTG